TTCTTTCTTTCTTTCTTTCTTTCTTTCTTTCTTTCTTCTTCTTTTTCCTTCCTTCCTCCTTTCTTTTTTCCCCCCTCTTTCTTCTTGCAACAACCAAGATATTTCAAAAAATAGAACAAAAAAATAGACCCCTTCCCTGGCCGGCAGAACCCCCTTTTCCCAAGACGGTGCAGCGGCGGTCCGTAATGGCCGCCACAAAGAAGCCGGCAGCCGGGTAAGAATGCGCAGGAGGAAGAGGAGAAAGCTTTTGAGAGTGAAAGTTTTTCTTGGTTGACCCAGGACTCTAAGACACATTTAACACAATTCCTGGAAATTATGGCTTTTTGAATGATACTTTCCAGAAGAGAAAATAAGCGGCAATTTTGAGGTGCTGAAAGGAAAGTTTACTCTCCTTCCCTACGGAATCAATAAGTGGATACTGAGAAACCTGTCTTTTTTAGGTAAAAACTGGCTTTATGTGATAAGTGGGAAGGGAGAGGACAAAAAATATATTTATATGTTAAGATTTTGTTGGAGGAGATGCCTTAAGGATTTGAAGACTGAACTGTATTGCAATGAGGCTTTAAGATACAGATTTGGACTTTTTTTTTTTGATTGATACTACCCCAGGAAGAGAAAGTGAGAACTTTGTCTTGGCTTGGATTGATTGATGACTTTGGGATTGTTCCTTCCTTCCTTCCTTCCTTCTTTCTTTCTTTCTTTCTTTCTTTCTTTCTTTCTTTCTTTCTTTCTTTCTTTCTTTCTTTCTTTCTTTCTTTCTTTCTTTCTTTCTTTCTTTCTTTCTTCTTTCTTTCTTTCTTTCTTTCTTTCTTTCTTTCTTTCTTTCTTTCTTTCTTTCTTTCTTCCTTCCTTCCTTCCTTCCTTCCTTCCTTCCTTCCTTCCTTCCTTCCTTCCTCTTTCTTTCTTTCTTTCTTTCTTTCTTTCTTTCTTTCTTTCTTTCTTTCTTTCTTCCTCCTTCGTTCTTTCTTTCTTTTTCTTTCTTTCTTCTTTCCTTCGTTTCCCACTCTGCTAGATGAAAGATAAAAGCCAACAACTTCCCTTTAAAAGATACCTCGTGAGCAGGGGAAAGATTGTCAATTTAGTTTTCTTTGCGTTGCCAAAAGCAGAGAGAAACTTACCCAAAGGGTGCTATATCCCTTAATGCGTCTGTGTCTCTTTTTTTTTTCCCCTCCTCCTTCCCCTGCCACTTTCCTCTTAGGCACCTTCAAGTTCCAGAAGGTCGATCTGCGGAAAGAAGGATACGATCCCATGGTGGTGAAAGATAAATTATTCTACTTGGAGCCTCGAGAATGCCGGTATAAGCCCTTGGACGAAGAAGCCTTTGGAAAAATCCAGTCGGGACAAATCAAACTGTAAAAAGGGGTGGGTGGGTGTGAGACATCGAAAGGACATTTTTCTTCCCTCTTGGAAACCCATCACATCCTTTGGTGCGAGGACTGGGATTACAACGGGGTTGGAAAACTGGAAATGACCAAGTCAGTTTCTGGGTTCGGGTCCCCCTGCCCTTGTTACCAATCACCTCTTGATGTGATGCCAAACTAGAGGTGCGTTTGGGGGGGGGGGGTAAATTACCATTAGCGTTTCCTGAAAAAGGCAAAAATTAGGGTTGTTGTTTTTTTTGTTTTAATTGTGTGATTTCCAGCAGTGTGGATGATTTTGCCTAGCGTCATCTTTACTAAAGCACAGATGATGATATATGGCAGTGATGGCGAACCTACGGCACGCGTGCCACAAGCGGCATGCAGAGCCATTTGTGCTGGCACGCGAGCCGCAGCCAAACTTACCTCACTGCGCATGTGCGTGCCTCACAGCTCATTTTTCAGCTGGTTTGAGGCCTTTTTCGGCCTCCCAGAGGCTTGGAAAAAGCCTCTGCAAGGCGTTTCAGGACAAATGGTAGGTCCATTTCGTCACTTACTGTAATTCCAGAAGTGACAAAACGGGCCTATTATTCGTCCTGAAAAGCCTTTGCATAGGCTTTTTCCAAGCCTCTGGGAGGCCGAAAAAGGCCTCAAACCAGCCAAAAAAAATCAGCTGTGAGGTGCAGTGCGGGCAGGGGGGGTTGTGTGTGCATGCGCAGGGGGCGTGGGGGGGGAGCGCATTGCATTTTGGGTGCTGGCACGCAAGTGTGCTCGCGCTAATGCACGTGCAGTTTTTGGCACAGGAGCCCAAAAAGGTTAGCCACCACTGATATATGGCTTTCTTTTCTCCTTTTGGGAAAAAAAAGGGGGGGGGTATCTTGCAAGGACTAACTTTCTTAGTCCCTTAGCTCGGACTCCAAAGCTCATCACGCTCCCCGACTTAGGATGATGGTGGGGATGATACCCTCCCCCCCCAACCAAGCATTTTAAACCACCAAGGATCTGCAGTGTTGGAAATTACCTCCAGGGGGCGACCTTGCACTGTCTTTTCTCTGCTTGATCAGCCATTCTTATATTTATTTTAAAGGGGTTTTCTCTAGTTTTTCCTTTTCATTTTTACGGGTTGCTATTTGCAAAAAGCACAAAAGGGGCCAGCCTGGCTTATCCATCCTAACTCTGCTTTTTTTTTTTTTCCAGGATGAATTTTTTTTTTTTTTGGGCACTTAATTTATCCACCTTTTAATCACACGGGGCTGTTTTCCGAAATGGAGGGAGGGGGTGGATTTGCCTTCCAAAGTCAGACCTTCACACACTCGCTGAAAGAGCAAACAAAAAACATTGGGTTTTTTTTCCCCAGTGTAATAATGCAATACTGTGATGACTCAAAGGGGCGTGGCACAAAAAGGAACAAAGTCACAAAAGTAGGCAAAGTCCCTTTAATTCCTCCAACTTGGCCCCCAATGTCCAGTTATCATTCGGCTGGAGCAAAAAACTCTCCCAAGAACAGTTTTTAAAGGGAAGAAATTCAGTCCGAACCCAAAGTACATATAGATTATAAATAAAAAAACCAACACAAACCACGCTGCAGCAATTAACGAGACAGGGCACGAAAAGAAATTGCAGACTTCCAAAAGATAACAAAACACACACAGTTGGGAGGATGCCAGAACCCCGGTAAGCCTCGACAAACAAAGATAATTCACGCTTTGCTTCCAGCAAGGTGCTGTGCGCAAACACCCCTTTTATCTTGTTTTCCCAGCTGCAGCTAATGAAGTGAATCAGGGCCCTTTTCTCCCCTATAACCCATGTTGCTCCCTTATCCGTTCCTCCCTGGGTGCCCTTCCCCAGTTTCGTCCACAGCCACCGGAGCCACACTCCCACTCCCTGTCCGCTGCTCGACCTCCCCCTTGGAGTCAGATTCCAACAGGGGCATGACAAATACACCCAGGCCTGCACGCATGAATCCAGTTTGGCCTCTGGTTGGTTTCTAATGCACACCTATGTTTCTTCTGTTCTTTGACTTAAAAAAAACCAAAAAACCAAAAAGGGCTTTTAAAAAAATAAAATAAAAACCAGGAGCAAAATGCTGTGACAGGCTAATTGTGCCTTGAGCAATTGCTTGCCTGTCCAGTTTTCCCCGTTCCAAAACCTTCCTAGCCGGAACCTTCCGGCCTGGCTGCTTTTCAGAAGTTTGAGATCCCTGATCTGATATTCTGTACTGCTCTTAAACCATCTGAAAGTCCAGCTCAAATTAGCTTCCCCTCTCCTTTTTTTCCCCTTCCCTTTTAATGCGGTGTGAAATCTCAAGCTGGAACTGATGATATTCCACCAGAAGCTTCCCAAACTTTTGAGATCGGTAGCTTTTCGAGTAGGATCCTGCTGTATTTTTTAAAAATGCAATGAGATCTCTCTCTCTGTCTCTCTCTCTCATGCTCGCATGAGGGAGACTCCGAGCTGCAGCGACAGACAGAGCATGCGCCTTGTGAAGAGCGCCACAGGTCCAATGCATCTGGAAACAGAATTATAGGGTGTCTAGTCGAATCCCTGCTAAACAGATGCCCCTCCTGATATTCTGCAATTTTGGAGGTCTCTGCTCAGCTTCAGGTTTGGAATGGAGAGGACTAGACTGGCCAAACCGGTTTCTATAAATGTTTTTTTTTTGTTTTGTTTTTTTTGTTTAAATAATGCAGGCAGCATTCTGTTTCCAGAGGCGTGTGACACCCTCTTATGGTCTTCCTGGAAATGAGCCTGTGTTAAGTCCGCACGAACCTTGCAAATAGAATAGAATAGAATTCTTTCTTGGCCACAAGGAATTTTGTTTCCGGTGCATAAATCCCTCCCCAGCTTCTTTGTAAACCATCCCACCAACTGAATTTCCCACAAGGCTTAGCAGCCGCGCAGGATAGGAGGTTTGAAAAGATGCTGCGGATAGCATCGTGGGCTGGGCGATGGACATGGGGGGGGGGAAACCCCTCCTCCCTTCCTGAGGATGCCTCTTGTCATTTCCAAACTCCCTTTCCTTCCCCCACCCCCCAAAAAAGCAAGCAATAATGGCTTTGGAGGACCTGGCTTTGGGCCAGCGACCCTGAATGTCTTTCTACGTCGATCTGTGTTCTGTGTTATTATCGGCCAAATGATTTTTTATGATTTTTTTTTCAATGGGTGTTGTTGCAGCACCGACTCAGGGAATGAGGGGGGGGGGGCTAAGAAGGGACGTATTTGAGGAAGAGGCATTTGCAACCTCCCCCCCCTCCAAGACACCTCTTAATTATGTTCTGAATGGAGGCATGACCGATCGCCCGATCGCAACCTCCTTGCAGTCTTCCTCTGCAAAAGCCCATTTTCCATGGGAACCCAACGCTCACGGCTTGCGAAAGGGATCTTTCCCCGTCCAAGAAGAGACGATTTTGGTTTTTCTGGCCAGTATAATGATTGTGCTTTCCCTCCCTGAACGCTGCCCCAAGGGGGTCTTTCAGGGGGTTAATTACCACCGCCCCCAACGAGAGGGGAGCCCTGTTTGCAGTTTGTCCCAGGTTTTTATTTTTTTTTAAACAATTTTGCAGAGGGCCAAACTGGCATCCAGATGTACTACTGTCCATGGTCCTGGTTTCTATGCATTGCTGCACAACTTCCCGCCCCCCTCTTTGTTTCCTGTGTACTGGGTGTGTATATCTCCTTTGGTGTGTTGATGACAAGCTGGAAAGTGGAGGGGGGGGGTCTGAAAATATTTGGGGCAGCTGCAGAAGAATTGAGAGGGGAAAACGTGCCGTTGGCTGACAAATGTCTAATAAAACACGAGCGCTTCCTTCTGTTGAGGTTTTTGTACCATTTTCCCTCTATTGCAGATCGTTGCCTTGCCTCAAAAGTCCTAAAAGCTGCTGATAAGTCAGGGTGGACAGTCATGGAAGGATGAGAGGACAGAGGGGATGCCCCCATGTCTGGCGCCCTGTGTGCGTGCAAACGCACAAACTCGTCCCACAACCTGATTGAGAGGCACAGAGAGGATTCTTGTGTGCCTCCCTGCCCGCAGTTTGCTTAGAGGTGGTCTGACATCATCCTAAAAAGCCAGGCAGGAAAAATTGGGAGTGTGCACCAGGAAGGAACCACCAATCAAACCTGCAGTGGCGTTCTGCAAAGAAAAGGAAAAAAAAATAACAGAGCAGGAAGGGACTTTGGAGGTCTTCTAGTTCAACCCCCTGCTCAACCTTATACCACCCCAGAAAAATGCTTATCCAGTCTCTTTCCCAAAAACCTCCAGTGACAACTCCAGTCACAACTCCTGAAGGCAAGCCATTCCATTGGTTCATTGTTCTAACTATCAGGAAATGTCTCCTCAATTCCAGGTTTCTTCTATCTTGGATTGGTTTCCACCCATCGCTTCTTGTCCTGTCCTCACGTGCTTTGCAGAATAGCTTGACCCCCCTCTTCTTTCTCACAGCCCTTCAAACATTGGAAGGCTGCTTTCCTGTCCCCCCATGTCCTTTTCACGAGACTGGGCATAGCCAATTCCTGCAACCATCCTTCATCTGTTTTAGCCTTAATCATCTTTGTTGCTCTTCTCTGCCTCGTAAGATCAGCAGTAGAGCCCCTGGCCTTTTCAAAGCAGAATATTCTAGTTGGAAGGGACCTTGGAGGTCCAACCCGACACCATTTCAGACAAATAGTGGTCCAATCTCTTCTTCAAAACCTCCAGTGATGAGAAGCACCCACAGCTTCTGGAGTTGAGCTGTCCCACCAGTTCATTTTTCTGTCAGGATTTTTTTTGGTAGATAGGCTTCGTTTGTTTTTTGTTTTGAGGGGCGGGAACCCCCCTAAAGTGCTTCAGCTCCCCTCCTTTATTTCTCCGTGCTGTTGGGCCAAGACTCAAACCTTGAATCGGGAAAGCGGGCTTTTGAGTTCGTTTCGGTTGTGTTGTTCCTCGGAAGGTTGCAGCCAGCCAAATGGCCTTTGCTGAGACGGATAATGAGGGAGGCCAACATCTTTTAAAGATCACTTTCAGGGACTCCAAAGGTTAAATGCTCACTTAGAGGGGCCTATTGAAGGCTGAGGCAGGGGTCTGGCATTGTTTGGACGCCCTCCTTGGCCTTTTGTTTGGTGGCTTTCCGAGGACGCTGCCAGTGTGTGTGTGTTTGTGTGTGTGTTGGTGTGTATGTGCACAGTGCGGTCCCCTCTCCTTCCAGGCCAAGGAAGCTCCAATGCAGCTGGAAGGGTTTTTTTTTTTCCTAGCAAGCCATGGGGAGGGTGATAGACAGACGGGGGGTCTCTAGCTTGCATTCTTTTCTTGGTGGCAGTTTAACCCCAGCTCAGAGATGGCCTCTGCCTGCTTGATCTCTGCGCGACACCCCATTTCCACATGAATGGGGAGAAGAAAGCTTCACTCCCTCTGACCTTTCTCCTGGGGGGCGGGGGGGGGGGTGGGGGCAGCGTCAGTGGCTGGGCTGGTTCTCCTCCCACCCCTCTTGTTCTGAGTTGCAGAAGGGAGTGCAGATCCCAGAGGCTGGCAAAAGCAAACAAAGCTCCCCCCCTCTTCACCCCACCCCCTCCCGCCCCGGGGCCAGGAAGCCCCCATTGTCATGGCTGCTCCTGCATGGGCTCTGGAGGCCTCCGCCCCTGCCCCATGGCGGGCTGGCTTGTCGGGGTGAAGGGCCCTGGCAGCTGTGGGTGGAAGCTTGATTGGAAATTAATTGGGCCTTTTCTGAGGGGGCTCCCTTGTAAACTCTCTGGACTTCTCCCTTCCTTCCCTTTTCCTTGCTTCTCTTTCTTCCATTCTTTTCCTTTTTCCTCCCTTCCCTCTCCTTTCTTCTTCCTTTCCTTTCCTTCTCCGTTTTCTTCTTCCTTTCCTTTCCTTCCCCTCCCTCCCTTCCTCCTTCCATTATTCATTCATTCATTCACTCACTCATTCATTCATTTTTTCCTTTCCTTTCCTTCCCCTTCCTCCCTTCATTGATTCATTCGTTCACTTTTCATTTTTCTTCCATTCCATTCCCTTCCTCTTCTTTCCTTCCTTCCTTCACTTTTCTTTTTCCTTCCCTTCCCCTTTCTTCACTTTTTTCTTTCCCTTTCCTTCCTCTTCCTTCCTTCATTTGTTCACTTTTCTTTTTCCTTCCCTTCCCCTTCCTTCGCTTTTTTCTTTTCCTTCCCTTCCCTTCCTCTTCTTTCCCTTTCCTTCCCTTCCTCTTCCTTCCTTCATTCGTTCACTTTTCTTTTTCCTTCCCTTCCCCTTCCTTCTCTTTTCTTTCCCTTTCCTTCCCTTCCTCTTCCTTCCTTCCTTCCTTCCTTCCTTCCTTCCTTTGTTCACTTTTCTTTTTCCTTTCCTCTCTTCCTTCTCTTTTCCCTTCTCTTTCTTGGGTTTTTAGTGAGAATGAGCCACGAGCCGTAGCTGTACAGAAATTACACCAGGAGATCAGTTTAATCCACATATATCAAGGTGCGTGCTGCATTTTTCATTGTTTATCCACATTTATCAAATAAATGTGTATTGTCTGTCCCAGTTTAACACCATCAGGGTTATTATGAATTGCTCCTTTTCCCATTAATCACTTGCAAAGGTGGGGGGAGACCCTTTGCCGACTTAAAACTCTCCCTTTCAGAAGCGCTGGACTACAACCCCATCATCCACCCACAGTCTGCCCAGTATCATGGGAGCTGTAATCCATCACTTCTCCAAGGGCGGGAAAGGGGGGGAGGGGGGAGAAAGAGAGAGAAAAGAGGCGATCATAGAGACTGAGTGCCGCCTTGGCCTCTCCATGGTTTTCCCCCCACACACGCGTCTTCGCCCGCGTTGCCAGGCAACCGCGGCCTAACCCGGATGCGGAGCGACGCTTCCGGTGTGGGCAGCGTGGCTCCCTGAGGCAAGATGGCGGCGCCCTTGTCTGTCCAGCTGGAGTTCGGGTGAGGGAAGCCCCGGGCTTGGAGGGTGGGAGAAAACAACGGGGGGGAGGCGGCATTTTTTTTGGGGGGGGGTGTCACGTGGGATTGAGGATGGGGGGCTTGGGCAGTGGGGGGGCTTGGAGGGCGAGGGAGGGGCTTGGGAAAGGGGCGGGGGTGAGGTTGGGGGGTAGCTGAACCCTTCCCAGGAAAGGGGGGGGGGGGGCCGGGGGGGACCCCCGGAAATAAAACACCCCCCCCTTTTAATGTCTCCCCCTATGTGGCTTCTTCTAGGGCCTCTTGACTGTCTTGGATTACAACTCCCATCCTTCCCAGCCAGGCCAAGCCAGAACTCAACAGGCGTTGGCAAGGCTGGTCGCCTGGCTAACGTTTTCATTGAGGGTGGATTGCCCCCACCTGCAAAAAAACGATAAAGTTACAACAACAACGATAATTAATAATAATAATAATAATAATAATAATAATAATAATAATAATAATAATAATAATAATAATAAATGATGATGATGCCACCTTATAGGGTGGCATAGAAATATAGTGCATTAAATAAATAATATATTCCTGGGCGGGTTCCTGCTTCCCCATATTTAAAGCATCTTTAGGGGATCCCACCTTAAAAGTCCTGAGAATATCAGAAAGAGGCCCTGTTTGTGGGTGGGTGGGTGGTCCAGCCCAAAGGGGTAAGGGGATAGTGTATTGACTTCCTTTCTTTCTTGGGGGGGGGGGAGCAAATAGGATATGGGAGAAAGGGGGAGGAGGGAGTTGTGATATGAAGGTTATTCTGCCTGGGTCCCATCTAGGCAAAATAAAAACAAAACAAAAGTAAAACACCCACTGCCCTTCCATTGCAAGCCATTTTATAGTTTTCATGCTCGCCATTTTAGAAACCAAGGAGGCCTGAGTGGGAAGTCATAGACACATAGAATAACATAGTTGGAAGGGACCTTGGAGAGGTCATCTAGTCCAACCCCCTGCTCGAGCAGGAGAGTGTATTCCAAATATTAGCCTCTACCTAGGATCGAACTCGCAAGCCTCCTGATTGTGTGTTTCTCTTCCAGCTATAAAACTTTAAAGGCAATGGGGGAAATGGACAAACCCCCCACCCGCCCACCCAAGTAGAATGACTGAGAGAGTTTAATTTGCCTTTAGATTTAAATTTGGATCTAACCAGAGTCTGGAAAGAGACTTTGTATATAATAATGTATAAAGTGCCATTTAAAAAAAAAAAGTAAGGGCAAGGTTAACAGATCCAAATGGCATATGTTTTCATGTCTTTGGGTTGGAAATGTCAGGTTTTTCTAAGATCTTTTTGGAAGGTTTGATAAGATAAGAATTTTTGGCTACAGTGGAACGTCTTGGAGAATTTGATAAACTGTTAAAAAAACACGGACCGTCATATGTATTTATTTACTTTCTGTCTTGAGAGTTAGTCCATGCCTCCAGAATTCAGGGTTCTTTAAAAGAGTAGCAGGACGTTTGAAGTAGCCATAAAGAATAAATATGAATGTGCAGAGAGTGATGTTTTCTCATTATTCTCCACATTGGTTCCTTTATATGTGGCTTTTAAGATTCAAAAGTTTTCATATAATAATAGATAGACACCATAGTACATATTACCAGTAATATATAGTTGACCCACACTAAAAGTTCCTTTCTCTGAGCTATAGATATACTTAAAAAAAACAAAAACCTAGGCTTAAGAATTTGCTTTTAGTATTTAGTATTTTAGTCTTTCCACTATGAAGATAGTGGGAGTGGAATATCTTCATATTAAATAGAGAAAGGGGCACTATGTTAAACTGCAAATGAATTGAATTGAACATTTTTGACTAAGAGTTTTTGTGAGATGCAGTGCTTTCCTCAGAATAACAGCAATTTATATCAAAAAGCCCCAAAATTCAACATGTATTTTAATGTATTTGAAACAGATACGTACAGCGATGAGAAAGTATTATAGGCATTTAAAGAAGAACACATAATTTAAAAGATTTAGACCTTCAGACTCTCTGTTGACTTTCACAGAATAGAGAATTATCCCTTATAAAGCAGACCAGTATATATCAAGATTAGCCCTTTGGTACTATCGCTCTTATTCATGCTCTTTCTAAATCACCCAGTTGGCCAGTACTGCTTCTGTTGCTTCTACTGTACAGAATTAATTAAATATGGGCTGTGCACGTCTTAAACTGTTACTGTATAAAGAGGTGTGTTTGAAATATAGATGATAGATAGATAGATAGATAGATAGATAGATAGATAGATAGATAGATAGATGATAGATAGATAGATAGATAGATAGATAGATAGATAGATAGATAGAACTTTTCACATTTATGAATGTGGAATGTGTTGGTTTTTTAAGCAATTCTGGATAAGAGTTTAACCTTCTCAGCATTATAAAATAATGTCATAAAATAGGGTTAATCAGATTCCCCTTTTGTAAAACCTGTCCTCCAGGGACTGTGGAACTGCACGTCCCATCATCCCCGCCTGTAGGTCAAGCTAGGTCTGGTGTGAGTTGAAATCCGACATTTCTATGTTCATCTCATATAAAGCCCAGGTTTATGCAACCTTTTGGGCACCAGGGATCGGTTCCATGGAGAAAGGTTTTTCCGTGGACTGGAGGGGGTGAGGTTTTGCATCCTGCCTGCATCCCGCGGATGGGTACCAGTCCTTGTTTGAGCGGACCTGTTGCTGGCATCCCGCGGATGGGTGCCAGTCCCTAGATCAGGGCTTAGATGCCTTAGGCCATAAGTCTCATAGGATGGGTAGGAAAGACAGAGGGCTTCCTTTTGAGATAAACCCACCTGCATCTTCCTCCTGGAGACACTGATACTCTTCTTACTCTCCAGAATGGCCTGTGTGTAGTCACTCTCGCCCCGCTCCCTTCCTTTCCTGGAAAAGCCTAAATGGCCTCTCTATGTGTGAGCGTTGCAGCTGAGTTTCTCCCCGCTAGCATGTTACAGAAAAGACCTTATCTGCCATCTCACTGTTTGTGGGAACGCACAAAGTGTGAGCTTGTTTTCACGGCAAGCAAGCAGCCACTGCTCGAGCTGCCATTCGGCATTAATCTCTAGGTTTGTCTTAATGTTTGATAATTGCTATTTTCAGTTTTCAGATAACAATTTGGAGGGCGGGGGGGGGGGAATTGGACAAGACCAACAGCTTTCTTTGAGGAGCGCAACTACCCAGAAATCATAGCCTTACAAAGGAAGTGTTGTGTTCTCAGAAAAAAGTACAGCCAAAACTCTTCCTTCACATCCCTGGGTTTAACGATACTGAGACTATTCCACTTTTGAAGTTTTCATATTCCTTAGCTGGGTCTTTTGCAAACGTTGAAGCTAAAAGCTTGAGCGTAAAGAAGAACAGAGTTGGGTAGGGACCTTGGAGGTCATCTAGCCCAACCCCCTGCTTAAGAAGCAGGGAAATGAAAAAGAAATGACATCTTTGAAACTTATTGTGTAGTGGTGCTTTTGTGGTTTGGGTGATGCCTGCTTCCTGTTAATCTTGGCTCAAGGAATACATTTTAAATAGGGCCAACAATATCTTAAAACCTGGCCACTATCCTTGTCTATGTGAAGTGGGGTATTTTTGACAGCTGAGCCCCAAAACTGAGGCTGAGCCAGGCCCTAGGCTTTCTGAGACTCCCAAGCAAACTGTTTAAACGCAGAATAGAGAAAATGGGAGCCATTAACAAAAGGGTCAAGGAAAGAACCAAAGGATGTGGAAGTTCCTCCTGGATTTTTAGCTTTAAAACGTTAATGCTTCCCAAATGCTTCCTTGTACAATTACGTTTCTCTCCCACCCCTCTCACCCCACCCCTTTGAATTTCAGAGGTGGAGCAGAACTCCTGTTTGATGGGGTAAGAAAACATCAGGTGAATTTGCCCGGCCAGTCTGAACCTTGTGAGTATTGACTGACTGATAACAAGTCCTTGCAGATGCTTATTTATTTAAATAACAACCTCCCTCAGCAGCCTTAACACAATAAACTTATGCCAGCACTTGGAAAAGCAGAACGAAAAGCCATCTTTAGAAACCACACAGACAATTTCAGAACGCTGAGCTTGTCGATCAGAAAGGTCGGCAGTTCGGCGGTTCGACACCCCCCCCCCAGCGCCGCGTCACGGAGCGAGCTCCCATTCCTGGTCCCAGCTTCTGCCAACCTAGCCGTTCGAAAGCATGTCAAAAATGCAAGTACAAAAAATAGGGACCACCTTTGGTGGGAAGGGAACAGCGTTCCGTGCGCCACGAAGACGTCTTCGGACAGCGCTGGCTCTTTTTTGGCTTTGTCATGGAGACTGGAAATGACTAGCATGTATGTGCGAGGGGAACCTTTTACCTTTTACCATCCTCATGTTCATAATGACAAATCCTTCACAAAGTGAAATGATTTTTTTTTTTTAAAAAATAATCCGATTCTAAGATGCCCAGAGGGTTCTTGAGATGCTGTAGAAACCTTTCTCTGATAATCCCAGACTAGATGACCTACAGGGTCCCTTCCAACTCTGTTCTAATTGATTGATTGATTGAACTGAAGATTATTTTGAAGTTGCTGGGAGAATCCTTTTTTTCCACTGAGGAACCTTCAGGGATGTAGTAAAAGCTTACCTAAAAAAAGATTTTCCGGTTGCTTCTCATCATGTTTAGAGAATTCATTCTAGGCTGGCTTGAATTCTGACCAAAATATGAAGCCGATTTTAGTTTAGACTGTTTTCTGGTCAAGAGCGCTGGAGGAATTCAGGACCTTCCAGCTTTCTCAGGCTGAGCGACACCCTTCCTCCTTCACCTTCCGTTAACATGCAAGGGGAGTTTTCTGGACTGTGGGGTTGCAAACCATGGTTTGCGGCAGTAAAGTATCGTATAGCTGGCGGAGAAAGAGACCACGTGTGCCATTCGTTATCCTGGTTTTTATCCAGTTTGTTGTTGTTATTTTTTTAAAAAAAATCCAGGCCTTTTCCAGATCTCCTGAGCTGGGCCCGCCCGGAGTTGCCCAAGCAGCAAGGTGTATCGAATGAAAGAGGCAGCTCAGGACAGGGTGTCCTGCATAGAGAAGGGAGCAGGAAAAGAGAAGTGGGGGGGGGGGGGGGGGGGGGGGGGGGGGGCGGCAGAGGGGGATTAAAAACAAAACCAAACTTGGGAAGTTCCTATTAGAGATTCTCCTCTCCAGCCGAGGAAGAAGGAACAGATTCACAGCCCTGTTTCCTGGAGAACGCAAGGCAGAAGGAAGGGACCCACTATTAAAATTCCCCCCCTCCCCGCACCTTCCTTAACCCCCCTCCCCAATCTGCACCCCTTTGGAGGGGTGACACCCCCCCTGAAAAGTTGAAAGTGCGGGGAGGGAGAGCGGTGGTTCTGCAGACCTTTAAACTACACAGCTTTTTGGTTTGCACAGTTCACACTGCCAGCTGTTCCTTTCTCCGAGGAGCTGTGTTTGCAGAAGAGGGTGTGTGTGTGTGTGTGTGTGTGTCCTGTGCAAAATTGCTTTTGAAAAGAGCTACTTTCTGCTTAATTAAACAATGGGCCGCCCCTGGGCCCCCCCTCGCACATCTGTAAGGGCCCTGCTGCTTTATCCCTCCAACTTTATCCCACAAACTGCTCCATTCTTGATTCCTTTCATTTGTAAATCTCCCTTCCCCTTTCTCTCTCTCTCTCTCTCTTCCCTCCCCCCTCCCTTCCCCTCCTTCGCCAGTCCTCTCCCTCGCCTTTCTCTCCCCTTTCAGATGACTGCTTGAGAAGCTGGGTTGACATTGTCCTGATCTTTTTTTATTTATTATTATTTTACTTTTGGGGGGGGGGGG